GGGGGGGGGGGGGGGGGAGGGGAGGATGGCACCAGGTTACAAGCTGCTGGGGATGCTCCCATGTGCCCACCTAAGCCACCCCGGCCCAGGGATCAGGAGGCTGCTCCCAGCAGCGTGTGGCTCTGCGCCCCCCAGGACCTCCCCAGCCCCCGCGGTCAGGCACTTACTCCATTTGCTTGGCCATCGCCGAGGCATCCAACTGGGCCACGAGTTCCTCGCCACTGGATTTGATGGTCTCCATGTAGCTATTCAGCATGTCCTTGAAGCGGTCCAGGCGTGTCTGAGGGTCATCGTGCTGCCAGAAGTACCGAGCCTGGGTCCCTGCGGGGTTGGGGGAGAAGGCAAAGGGCTCAGGACGTGCTCGGCCGCTTCCCCCGCAGCGCTTGGCACCAACTCCGGGCTCGAGGGGGGGATGCCTGCCCACACCAGCCTGGGCTTGCAGGGGTCTCCTGAAGCCCCCAGGGGCAGGACCCCACAGGCTGGCCCTGCCCGGTATCACACCCAGGCTGCACAGGACTCTGTGCTCCAGGGCTGCCCTGCGCCGGGTTGGGGCTCACCTGTGAGGAACACCAGGGCGAGGGTCACCACAATCGCTCTCATCCTCGGCTGCGTCTTGGGCTGCAAAAGGCAATAGATTTTCCTGCGTGAGCACCTAGGACTCTGCTCCAGCCAACCTGGAGCCTGGCCAGGGCCAAGGGGAGTCAGGAACAGATGCCCAGCTGGGGCTGCCCTCTCCACCGATGGAGGTGCCCTGGCAGCTGTGATGCCCCCAGCCCACCCCAGGGTCCTGCTGAGCTGCTGGCAGTCCAGGGGCTGCTGCTCCTTCAGCTGCAGGCAATCCCAACTCTGCAGCTGATTTTATTCTCAGGTGGGCTGAAGCAAGAGCAAGGAGAGCAGGCAGCTGTGGGTGCAGATGCCCCGGGGTCTCCCCTCGCTTGTGGGCAGAGGCGAGCAATGGGCTGAGCCTCTGGGGTAGAGACTGTGCCCTGGCACCACTGGGGGCTGTGCTGAAGATCCAAGGGGACCTTGGCCGGAGTGGGCGCAAGGGAAGGATGGGGTCAGGGTCTCACCAGTTGTCCCTGCTGCTGGTGCTGCTCCCACGGCTCTGTGAGGCTCCTGCTTCCCCCAGCTGCTATTTATGGTGCAGGGGGCAGCGCTCAGCGAGATAAGCAGAGCCGCAGCCCAAGGAACCCTCCCAAGTCCTGACGATGTGGCACGGAGAGTTCAAGGATCGAGCCGCCTCCCCGTGGGGCCAGGCGGGCCAAGGAGCAGCGCCTGGCAGGAGAGCGGGAACAAACAGGAGCAGGGCAGGGGGAGGGGGCTCAGCCCGGCTTGTTTGCGCTCAGGGTGACCCTGATTCTCCTGCCAACCCCGGGCTTG